GGTGATGTTTGGCAGCGTGACCCGCTGCCAAGAGGCAGCCTGGTGTAAATACTCAACGTGACTATTCATTGTGTCCTAACAGCTCTAGAGCTCCATTTGTAAAGCAGCAGAGAAATGCAAAATTGTGTCAATGGATGTAATTTATATTGTCTCTTTAATATATAGAGCCCTGGCATTGATCTTGTGTGACTGTACAGATGAAGAGATGTAATTGGTTTTTAAATGTTTAAGGAAAGAAAAGAAACAAAACAAAACAAAAAAAAAAGATGTGTTTACTACTTTGCTCCTTGCTTTGTTTGCTGGTGCCCCAGGCATTCTGTTTAGGGAGACTCTGAAATAAGGATATCACAGTTCAGAGGCGCTGAGGAGAGCAACCACTGGACCGCGGCACGGGACAGTTTAGTTTCCCAGTGCACTAACTGCTCAGCCAAGCTCATTTGGACTTTTTTGTTCCCTTTGTTCAAGAAAGAACCAAGTTTTTGTCTTCCCTAGAAATTTAAAATGCAAAATTTGTCATTGGGTAAGAGGAAACATTTGTTTCTTGCTGTGTTGCCCTACAGATAACAGCATATGCTGCTTGAAAGCAGTCCTAGCTGCCCAAGCCACAGGAAGTCAGTACTCCCTTTCCTATAATGCAATCGTCCTACACTGCAGTCATGATGCGCTGTGGCTCAGGGCTAATTTCCAGCCAATTCCAATCTATTATTACGGGATGGCTCAGTCCCACTGTCCAGGTGAGCGCTGCAGTGGTGGCCGGCTGTCATACAGTGCATGGGGTATCCCTATTTTAGAAGCAAACAGTGAAGCACTTTATTTTGGTTGTGTTTGACCCAATTCTGGTTAAAGGTGAAGTGTGGCCAAGAAAGACCCGATACTTGGAAACAAAAAACATACATAGGAAAAGAGGGGGGATATTAGGAGAAGCCCCCCACCTCCTCCCTGAGTTGAGACCCACGGGAGTGTCACCGCGTGTATATACTGTAAATTATTTATTGAGAGAAACACAAGTAAAGTTTGAGGTTTTTTTGACAATAAACGAGTGAGTCTTGTTTTGTTACCTTTTGTTCTCATTTGGTGCGTTGGATGGTGCTGTTCACCACGAGGATGCGGTTGTTGCTCCACTCCTGCATTCACTCTAAAGCAGCTTTCTTCCACCTGTAACCCAAGGGCCGTTGGAGAGCTCATTTCTGTCCTGAATTCTCTGAGAATTGCACTTTGGGGGTTTATTTATCTGCAACCAAATGAGAAAAATAGGGGATGAGGGGAGAAAATACAGATATTAAACGATTGGGGTCTCGCCTCGCTGCGGAAGGAGAGGTGCAGCAATGGCACCAAGTGGGTTCTATCGCCCTTCCCTGCTCACCCCAGCAGCAGCGATGTGCACCCCCAGAACTTCCCCTTTCGCTGCTCTCCCCTTCCTCGGTGGCAGCTTTAGCCCCATGTGGGTCTGTCACTGCCCTCTAATGAGCGAAAACCAAAACTGCAGTTCTTCTGGTTAAGTTTCCTGTTGTACAAAGCTGAGGAACTCCTTGCCCCAGCAGCTGAGGCAAAGAAGAAGCTGTGGGACACCGGCACCAAAACACACGTTATTTGGGCAGATGCCTGCAAAGACACCGAGCACCGGAGATGTGAGACCCGAGTTCCACCTCCTTCAGAGCCCTGAAGAACTGGGAGCTTTTAGAGCCAAACCCACTCCCTCTGCCACCGCTTGCACCAGCTCCCAAGAGCTTTAGCAGGCTCTGAAAAGCCATATACAAAGTCATATAAAAGGTGCCCAGAGCACAGGGGTCAGGGGGGTCTCCCCTGCTCGCTGACTTGAGGTCACCAATGGACCCTGCTCATCCTCCTCAGGCAGCAAGAACACACATCCCCTGGTGGGACAAAGTGCTGAGGGAAGGGTACGGTGATGCCTGGGTGAGCAGCCCCATGGAGGGTCCAAGGTCCCACCATCCTCCTCCTCCTCTGTCCGAAGCACTGCGCTGTGGTGGGTGCCAGGGAACA